GAAGAACCATAAAAAAAAGAAACTTTAGGCACAGCTACGTTACTAATATCCCCAACCCATCCCTCCTGGACTACAAGACCCAGCATGCACCTGCTGCCAATGGGTGAAAGGACACAATGGGGGGAGATTTACTAAAACTGGAGCACTCAGGACTCTGGTGCAGATGTGCATGGCGGCCAATCAGCTTCTAGCTTCAGCTTATTCAGTTAAGCTTTGGCAATAAAACCTGGAAGCTGATTGGTTTGATCTGACAATACACACATTATTTCTGTCCTATATCTGATCGCCTCTCGGGGGATCAGGAAGGAAATTTTCCCCTGCAGGAGGAAAGTGGATCGTGCTTTGCTGGGTTTTTTTGCCTTCCTCTGGATCCACTGTGTGTGTAGGATTATAACTTTTATTTTTAATGGTTGATTTGGATGGACTTTTGTCTTTTTTCAGCCAGACTAACTATGTAACTATATGTAACCATGCATGTAACTATGTAACTATATGTAACCATGCATGTATCTATGTAACTATATGTAACCATGCATGTAACTATGTAACTATATGTAACCATGCATGTAACTATGTAACTATATGTAACCATGCATGTAACTATGTAACTATATGTAACCATGCATGTAACTATATGTAACCATGCATGTAACTATGTAACTATATGTAACCATGCATGTAACTATGTAACTATATGTAACATGCATGTATCTATGTAACTATATGTAACCATGCATGTATCTATGTAACTATATGTAACCATGCATGTATCTATGTAACTATATGTAACCATGCATGTAACTATGTAACTATATGTAACCATGCATGTAACTATGTAACTATATGTAACCATGCATGTAACTATGTAACTATATGTAACCATGCATGTATCTATGTAACTATATGTAACCATGCATGTAACTATGTAACTATATGTAACCATGCATGTAACTATGTAACTATATGTAACCATGCATGTATCTATGTAACTATATGTAACCATGCATCTAACTATATGTAACCATGCATGTAACTATGTAACTATATGTAACCATGCATGTAACTATATGTAACCATGCATGTATCTATGTAACTATATGTAACCATGCATGTAACTATGTAACTATATGTAACCATGCATGTAACTATATGTAACCATGCATGTAACTATGTAACTATATGTAACCATGCATGTAACTATGTAACTATATGTAACCATGCATGTATCTATGTAACTATATGTAACCATGCATGTAACTATGTAACTATATGTAACCATGCATGTATCTATGTAACTATATGTAACCATGCATGTACTATGTAACTATATGTAACCATGCATGTAACTATATGTAACCATGCATGTAACTATGTAACTATATGTAACCATGCATGTAACTATGTAACTATATGTAACCATGCATGTAACTATGTAACTATATGTAACCATGCATGTAACTATGTAACTATATCCCGAATGCTGCTATTGTTTGGAATCGGATACAAGTACTCGGACTATACATGAAATGTATTAATATGGAATTATTAAAGCTGTCTACTATACCAGCCCCATGGAGGGCACGGGATGGGGGTGTTACTTGGTCAATATTTTTAGTATAGCCCCACGAACCCCATGCCTGGAAATGGCCCCCATGTCCAATATGGCGACAGCAATCTATTGCTCTTAGTTTTGGTGACACTTCTAGAACGTCCAACCCAGAGCAGTGTAAGTGCAAGAACTAAAACGATGAGCAGAACGTAAATTGATGCCACAAAGCACTGACATGGCGGGGAATGTCATGGTATCTGCGCTATGGAAAAGCAGCGTGCAATGAGGACTCCGCCCACCACACACCATCTACATGCATGTCACACTCAGCAAGCGCAGTCAGACACTTATCAAAGTGGAGCGCTACCTCCACTACCAGTTATATTATGGGTAGCACAGCGGCTAAATGGTTAGCACTTCCGCCTGGCAGTACTCGGGTCGTTGGTTCAAATCCCAACCATGGCATCACCTGCCTGGAGTTTGCATGTTCTCCCTGTGCCTGCGTGGGTTTCCTCCCACGCTCCCAAGACATGCTGGTAGGTTAATTGGCTCCTGTCTAAGTTGTCCCTAGTATGTGTATGTATGAATGTGAGTTAGTTACCTTAGACTGTACACCCCTTGAGGGTTAGAGACCTTAGATTGTACGCCCCTTGAGGGTTAGGGACCTTAGATTGTACGCCCCTTGAGGGTTAGGGACCTTAGATTGTACGCCCCTTGAGGGTTAGGGACCTTAGATTGTACGCCCCTTGAGGGTTAGGGACTGATGTGAATGTACAATATATATGTAAAGCGCTGCGTAAATTGACAGAGCTACACCAATGATGGGGCACTATTCCTCCCACTGATACCAATGATGGGGCACTATTCCTCCCACTGATACCAACGATGGGGCACTATTCCTCCCACTGACACCAATGATGGGGCACTATTCCTCCCACTGATACCAATGATGGGGCACTATTCCTCCCACTGACACCAATGGTGGGGCACTATTCCTCCCACTGACACCAATGATGGGGCACTATTCCTCCCACTGACACCAATGATGGGGCACTATTCCTCCCACTGACACCAATGATGGGGCACTATTCCTCCCACTGACACCAATGATGGGGCACTATTCCTCCCACTGACACCAATGATGGGGTACTATTCCTCCCACTGATACCAATGGTGGGGCACTATTCCTCCCACTGATATCAATGGTGGGGCACTATTCCTCCCACTGACACCAATGATGGGGCACTATTCCTCCCACTGACACCAATGATGGGGTACTATTCCTCCCACTGACACCAATGATGGGGCACTATTCCTCCCACTGATACCAAAGATGGGGCACTATTCCTCCCACTGACACCAATGATGGGGCACTATTCCTCCCACTGATACCAATGATGGGGCACTATTCCTCCCACTGACACCAATGATGGGGCACTATTCCTCCCACTGACACCAATGAAGGGACACTATTCCTCCCACTGACACCAATGATGGGGCACTATTCCTCCCACTGACACCAATGATGGGGCACTATTCCTCCCACTGACACCAATGATGGGGCACTATTCCTCCCACTGACACCAATGATGGGGTACTATTCCTCCCACTGATACCAATGGTGGGGCACTATTCCTCCCACTGATATCAATGGTGGGGCACTATTCCTCCCACTGACACCAATGATGGGGCACTATTCCTCCCACTGACACCAATGATGGGGTACTATTCCTCCCACTGACACCAATGATGGGGCACTATTCCTCCCACTGACACCAATGATGGGGCACTATTCCTCCCACTGACACCAATGGTGGGGCACTATTCCTCCCACTGATACCAATGGTGGGGCACTATTCCTCCCACTGACACCAATGGTGGGGCACTATTCCTCCCACTGATACCAATGGTGGGGCACTATTCCTCCCACTGACACCAATGGTGGGGCACTATTCCTCCCACTGATACCAATGGTGGGGCACTATTCATTGATGGCGCTATATAAGTACCTGAAATAAATAAATAAATATTGCAGGGCAGGGGTCCCCTACGTTTCATTAAGAATATTGAAGGCCTCTCTGACTTCTCTTCTCTAAAAAGGATTTTAGGATGTGCTTAAAGGGAAACGTTTTATGTATGTTCTTTTTTTTTATCATTGTAAGCCCCCCTTAAAATATATGTGTGGAAAAGTGTCTAAGGGGGTCTTTGTTGAAATTTTTTCTTCCCATCTCGCCCAATCACACAATATGCAGATCGAGTGCGGGTCAGCAGGAACCCCCAGAATGCCCAGGGAAAGAAGGCAGGATGGCCAAGATTTATTATTGTTTATTTATTTCAGGTACTTATATAGCGCCATTAATTTACACCGCGCTTTACATATATATTGTACATTCACATCAGTCCCCGCCCCCGAGGAGCGTACAACAATCTAACTCACATTCATACATACACATACTAAGGCCAATTTAGACAGGATCCAATTCACCTACCACCATGTCTTTGGAGTGTGGGAGGAAACCGGAGTACCCAAAGGAAACCCGCGCAGGCACAGGGAGAACATGCAAACTCCAGGCAGGTGATGCCATGGCTGGGATTCGAACCAATGACCTGAGTACTGCCAGGCCGAAGTGCTAACCACTTAGCCACTGTGCTGCCCACTTAGCCACTGTGCTGGTGAAATTGTTCAAAAGCCCCTCACTGGCTACAAGTTGGTTTGCTGGTCAAATTATTTCTTCCCTGTTCTCCTTAAACACTCAAGTATTAATTAAAGTGGACCTTTCTGCATGAATAAATACCCACTATGACAGGATATACAACATACAGTATGTATACTTGGAAAAAAAAACCCCCCAAAAAAAAACAAAAGGGATCAGACTGCAGCACTGTAACTCTGTAGCAAGTGTGAGAGGCTGCAGCAGGGGCTGATCTGTGTCAGACATTTGTGAACACCGCTGACTAGGGACCAGGATTTACTTTTTGGTGTTATCTTTGAGGCGACACACCAGTCCAGGAAGCAAATGTTGACTTTGGATGAGGACAGAAGGCTCTGTCCTTCTGGAGAGAAGAGCAGATGAAGCCGTTGTCAGGGGAAGTAATGTTCTGGAGATTCATACTCGCGACACAGCTAGCGTGCATGCGCATAGCATGGAAATGCGGGTGATAGGTCCACTTTAATATTAATATTATTACCAGTGATAATAATTTGACGTTACAAGGGTTCTGTATGCCCACATCAGTCCTCTGCCCATGATTGCCACTATATGAGGAGGACTATGAGCCCTGCAGAGGGATGAGCTTGACTGAACAGCATGCGACATCTCACACTTACCCGTGTGTTCCGCCAGTCTGGACCATCCAGGCCCTGACCCCATGAGGAGAATCACACACACAACACTCGCAGAGGCCGACTCCAGCCACACACAACCTACCCGCATCCGACAGAAGTACTTACTGGACTGGGCCGTCCGAGCCTGGACCACAGAGGTGTACACCCCCAGCCCCATCGCCGATGACGCTGCAAGCTGAAAACTGTACGGGGTGTCAGGCTTCAACCCTTCCACCGCATAGGAAGACGCCGGAGCAAACGTTACTTTTTGCTGAAATGAAAAAAGAGATCAAAGATGATTCATGAGAACAAATCTCTTCTCAGCGAGGAAAGGCGAGTCTTAGTGTTCAGAGCATGAAAAACATCAAATACATAATTGCCGTCAATATAGGAAATGCGGAATAAGAAAACTCCTCCTATAGTATGGGAAATGCTCCAGTACCCAGGAAAAAGAAAGAACCCCGACCCCAACCCCAACCTCTAACCCCAACCCTAACTCTAACCATGTTCTAACCCTAAAACCCTACTCTAACCTCTAACTGACCTGAACCCCCTAAACTCTAACTCGAACCCCCTAATCTGACCTGAACCCCCTAACCCTACTCTAACCCGAACCCCCTAATCTGACCTGTTAACCCGAACCCCCCTGACCTAAACCCCTAACCCTACTCTACCCCCTAATGACCGAACCCCCTAAATCTAACCTGAACCCCCTAATCTAACCCAAACCCCCTAACCCTAATCTAACCCAAACCCCCTAATCTAACCTGAACCCCCTAACCATAACTAACCCAAACCCCCTAATCTAAACTGAACCCCCTAACCCTACTCTAACCAGAACCCCCTAACCCTAATCTAACCAGAACCCCCTAACCCTAATCTAACCCAAACCCCCTAACCCTAATCTAACCCAAACCCCCTAATCTAACCTGAACCCCCTAACCCTACCTAACCCTAACCCCCTAACCCTAATCTAACCCAAACCCCCTAATCTAACCTGAACCCCCTAACCCTACTCTAACCCTAACCCCCTAACCCTAATCTAACCCAAACCCCCTAATCTAACCTGAACCCCCTAACCCTACCTAACCCTAACCCCCTAACCCTAATCTAACCCAAACCCCCTAATCTAACCTGAACCCCCTAACCCTACCTGAACCCCCTAACCCTAATCTAACCCTAACCTTAATCTAACCCCCCCTAACCCTATTCTAATTCCAATCTAACCTATCTACCCCAAACCCCCTAATCTAAACTGAACCCCCTAACCCTACTCTAACCAGAACCCCCTAATCTAACCAGAACCCCCTAACCTAACCAGAACCCCCTAACCCTAATCTAACCCTAACCTTAATCTAACCCCAATCCCCTAACCCTACCCTAACACTAATCTAACAACCCTGATAACCCTAACCCTAATCCCCTAACACTAACCCTAATCTAACCTAAGAACCCCTCTAACCCTAATCTAACCCTACTCTGCTTAACCTGGATCGCAACGCCCTAGAGGTGGCCGAGGAAGGAGGAGAAGAAGCGGAGAAGCTGTGAAGCCTGCCACCCTAAGCCCTGCTGCGATAACCAGACCCCCCTAAGGGCTCATACCCTATCACCCCTACCCTCTAACCTTTATCGTTGAAGTAATCCATACCTATTACGCTTCTGGTGAGTGCGCAATTTTTACCTTACCATTGGGAGCAACCACCACGGGATTGAAAGCTGTAGATCACGATATATTCATCTAGAGACTGTCATTAATTTATGTTCTTATCATTGGGGACATTTATTCTTATATATATATATTATATTTAACAATTCCTATACGTCTAACAATTTAATGTTGAACCCTAACCTTGACCCTATTCTAACCCTAACCCCCAACCCTATTCTAACCCTAACCCCCAACCTACTTCTATCTCTATTCCAATGCTAACCCCCTAACCCCGGCCCCTCTAACGCCAACCCCTTCTAAGAATTTAATGTTGAACCCCCGTTTCACCTTGACCCAATTCCTACCCTACTTAACGCCTAACCCCCTAACCCCGACCCTACTCTAACGCCAACCCTAACTTCTAACAATTTAATGTTGAACCCTAACCTTGACCCTATTCTAACCCTAACCCCCAACCTACTTCTATCTCTATTCCAATGCTAACCCCCTAACCCCGGCCCTACTCTAACGCCAACCCTAACTTCTAACAATTTAATGTTGAACCCTAACCTTGACCCTATTCTAACCCTAACCCCCAACCCTATTCTAACCCTAACCCCCAACCTACTTCTATCTCTATTCCAATGCTAACCCCCTAACCCCGGCCCTACTCTAACGCCAACCCTAACTTCTAACTGAACCCTAACCTTGACCCTATTCTAACCCTAACCCCCAACCCTATTCTAACCCTAACCCCAACCTACTTCTATTCTATTATGCTAACCCCCTAACCCCCTAACCCCGGCCCTACTCTAAACCCTAACTTCTAACAATTTAATGTTGAACCCTAACCTTGACCCTATTCTAACCCTAACCCCCAACCTACTTCTATCTCTATTCCAAGCTAACCCCCTAACCCCCCTAACCCCGGCCCTACTCTAACGCCAACCCTAACTTCTAGTATTCAGTTGAACCCTAACCTTGACCCTATTCTAACCCTAACCCCCAACCCTATTCTAACCCTAACCCCCAACCTACTTCTATCTCTATTCCAATGCTAACCCCCTAACCCCGGCCCTACTCTAACGCCAACCCTAACTTCTAACAATTTAATGTTGAACCCTAACAATTCACCTTGACCCAATTCTAAGTCTAACCCCCAACCCTACTTTCATCCTAACCCCCTAACCCCGCTCTAACGCTAACATTTTATTAGTGAACCCTAACCTCTAACACTGGCCCCCCTTAACCCCTTTTTTCTCAGCAGTGATAGTCTAGTATTAGGTTGTTTTTTTTTTTTAAAATAACTGTCAGTTTAAGTGACGCAGAATTATTAAAAAAAAACAAAAAACCTCTTTGTGTATGAAGGTAAAAACACATCAGTAAACACGGAACAGTACATTGGAAGGGATACATTTTAATGTTGATCTATAAATAAATGAGAACACAAGCTTTTTAAAGCAGCGCCCGGCTCTTCATCGGGTGTACAAGTGAAGGCTGAATATTAAAGTATACATTATAAATAAAAGCTGCAAGCATTAGTCACAATCCTGCTGTTCTGGTTAAAACAATAAAGAATTCTTCTGAATATTCTTTAGACCGGTTGCTCAGAGCAATATAAAAAGTCGTCAGCCATATTCTGCCATCACTGAAGCTGGGCTGGAGAAATGTACTAAATGTCCATCCAGGTCCATCAACCTGGCCAGGTGGACGAATATTTTTTTCAACTTCGGCTGCATCCAAAATCTGTTCTATGCTTGTTTCAGCAGTCTATAAAATGCAAATCCTGCATGTCAAAAAACATACATGCAGGCTGTCATGAGCACCAACATGGCAGGGAGTCTCCTCCGTAACAGTTTTATCACCTGTTGATCCGTTATTTTATCCACTTCCTGTAACAGGGTGACAACAATGTTTGTTTGGCAGTGAAATCACAAAGTAGCGTTGTCACCCTGTGGACAGGGTAGTCTTGGATGGACATGTAGCTTTAAATGGACTTTACGTAAAAGACAAACAAATGAAAGCCCATCTTCAGCTAACAACTTTATAGCAGGTAGTTATAGTAACATTTTTTCTCTTTTGGTAAAAAGGTTTCTAAAATATGAATAACAGCCAGATGTTATAAGCACCCCCCAGGAATGTCAAATGGTTTGTCCCAACCAGGGGCGGACTGACCATTTGGAAACTCGGGCACCGCCCGAGGGCCTGGGGTCAGTAGGGGGCCACATGAGATGCCCCTGGTACCTTTTTCATAGGCTTTTTTGAGTTTGGGCAAGGACACAGGGGCCCCATGATCCCCTATTGCCCGGGGGCCCCATGAGTTGTCAGTCCGCCCCTGGTCCCAACCCCTGTAAAAGATGCTTTTTCTGGACAGCTTGGCCTGGGACAATAATGGACCTACTTGCAGCATCAATAGGTAAAAGAAAAACTGGTATGGAAGACACAGAAAAACAAAAATTGTTGTGTTAAAGCTGAAGTGCAATTATGTTTTTTATTGCACAGTTACATTGATTCTACATGGACCAATGTTAGTATGAATATTCCACACCTGTGGGACTGCGGTGGAAGCGGAGAATCACTTTAGTAGTCAGTGCTACTACAGCAATCTCAATGGTCTTCCGGGTCCTATGCTGAGCAGCTGCCCTTCTGCATGGTGAACCCCTCAATGACTGGGGGGGGGGGGAGGACCTGGAGGACCCCGGAGATCACTGTAGTAGTACCGACTACTACAATGATTCTCTGTTTCCACAATGGTGGGAAAAAATGTATCTGGGCCTAATTTTGAACTGCTTTGCGTTCACCAGTACGATACAGCATGTATAATTCGGGGTCCTGCTGTTCCTAGCCATGATTCAGCATTCATCTTCTTCTGTTTGCCCAATACAAAGACATCTCTTACCTTCGGTCCATCCTGCCCCTCCCAGAACTGCAGTTCATAGGAACTGATTCGCTCCTGCGAAGCGGACTGCCAGGTGAGCATTATTCGGGTGTCTGACTCGGCTTCTGCCTGGAAATTGACCGGCTGGGCTGGAACTGCAGGGTTAAACAGAATCATTAGAACAGTCCCAAGTTTGCCATCTATAATATCAGCAGTAGGACAAATATCTGTAGAATGCCAAAGACAGGGACACCCAGGAGGCAATGTTCTTCTGTGTACAGGGACGTGAAGGGTGTTAGTAAAGGAAGTGAAAGAAAAGTTACTTAACAGACAACATTTAATATCTGACAAAAGGTTCCAACCCTTCCCTGCCCCATCCAAAGCCTACATAAAAAGAGTTTCTGGTGAAACTGAGCTTTAAGAATGAAGAAGTCTCACTATTTATCAAAAATGTTCACAAAAGTGGATACAACTTCATTAAACCACTCACCTCCCTGCTGGGTCTTGACTTGGACCATATCTGAAGGTGGCCCATCCCCAACAGACGTGAAGGCCAGAACCCGGATGCTATAAGTGATTCCTGTGGTTAGTCCTCCAATTGTGGTCAGCAGATTGTCCACTACATTGTGCTTTTGCCACATGCTGAAGGGAAGATGTGGGTCAGATGTGTAATATACCCGGAATCCTCGGATCTGACCATTGGCTTCTTCTGGAGGATCCCACTGGACAATCATGGTACTGGAGCTGAGCATTCGCGCCTGGACTTTCAAAGGAGGACCTGATGGAGCCTGTTCCCCTGTCCGTGCTTCCACCACCTCACTCGGAGGGCCCCGGCCGATGTTGTTGACTGCGATGACGCGGAATTCATATTCTGAGAAGGGGCTGAGGCCTCCGATACTGTAACGGGTGGTGGCCACCCCATCGACCTCCTGGAACGAGCCTTCTGACAACTTGGGCTTATACTGTATGACGTAGTAGGACAAAGGTTCTGGGTTTCCGGAATCCCACGTCAAGGTGACGCTAGTGGCTGTCGTCTCTGTTACCATCACAGCTACCGGTGGTTTTGGCAAAGCTGGAAGAGTGGAGAAAGTGAGATAGATCAAGTATATTGAAGATGACCTATTCCTTCTCCAATCTGCTGATCTGTTCATGCGCACTTACCTTTCACTGTAATCTGTGCCACTGCCTCAATCATGCCAAGGGAAGAGATCGCCACGCAGGTGTAATTGGCAGATTCACGAATATTGGTCAATTCCAGGACATTACGGCCTACCGGCATCTCGTCCTCTTTGGTAAGTTCTTCTGCGCCGGCCATCCACTTTACATAAGGCATGGGGGCACCGACTGCGACACAGGTCAGGTTCACACTGCCCCCAGGCATCACTTCGTGGTTACTAGGGGGGATGGAGAAACGAGGGGCCACGCGGCGTACTGCAAAGAGCCAGACAGGAGCAGTGTTTAGGCATGAACAGAGGTAAAACTTCATAAAAGCATACTGGAGTCAAACACATCACCTGCACGAAACAGACTCTTCAGAAATGCTTAATTCACTTTAGTCAGAATCCAACTTAATCCCAAATCTGAACATTTTATGTAAAAACATTCACCTTCAAATAAAGGTCAGGAGGCCTTTTTAAAGATATTTAATAAAAGATTTAAAAGATTTGGCTTTGTGCAGAATGATATTCAATAATAATTCTGGAAGGAGATTGTTGAGAAGAAGAAAAGATTTGGGATGGCATGAGATGCCAACAATTCACTCACCTGTATACATTTTAGCACTTTTAAAAATTACACCATTTTAACAAAGTCTTCAAATTCTATCAGCAGGACCTCTCCAATACAAATCTGACAGAACACTCCCCAAGGGTCATTAATGAAAGCAGAAACTACTTAGCAATACCAAGCAGGAGACAGAATAACCTGACATATTAATCACACGGAGAGTATTTAGTTATTGCATGGAAAATATTCTAAAGCAAAACTTCAAACAAAATGTATTTTTTTGTTTTATAAAGAGAGAGGAACCTCTGACATGTTTTACTGCCATTATTGGCAGATTTCCCAAACCAATCCTGTCCTTTACGATGGCCATCCCCGGAACAGGAAGTGAGGAGTTATGTCCACCATAGGGGCACACACTGCAGTAAAATCTCTTTTCCTGGCACCAACATGGCAGCACACTAATGGTAGAGCTCCACCTCTAACCTCTCCCTCAGGACCAAAAGGAAAGACAGCCAACACCTTCGTATGAAATAGCATTTTCTGTTTTTGGCATCTACCAACCCTCTCAGCTAGGTGTTTATCACTGGTATGCTGCCATGTTGGCACCAGGAAAACAGAATTGTATCAAATACTTACTGTCATTTTCCTTTCCTGGAGCCAAATCAAGGCAGCATACAGACCCACCCTCAGTATGTAGCTTATTATGGAAAACACTGGGGGTGATAGCTGGCTTTCTTTTATGCTATTCACTGGTCCTGAGAGAGGGGTTAGAAGTGGAGCTCTATCACTAGTTTGCCGCCATGGCTTGGTGCCGCAAAAGGAAAAGTATGTGATACATGTTCTGGTTTTTGGTCAAGGAAGAAGAGTCAGAACTTCTAAAAAGTTTGGTTTGCCATTTGTTGAGTTTTTTTCCCACTTCCCATCTTGTCACCACAACTGTCACCAAGACAAGAAGTAAGGTGAAATCCTCCCAATGGGAACACATGTAGCAAAAATCTAAAAGAGGTTCCCATTCTTTCCAACTCTTTCCAACTCTAGCCAAAATTAAAACAGAAAAAAGGGTTTTTATCTGGAATTGGGCATAAGAGCTAAATGCACAAACATCAAGAGCATACAGTCTTCATAAATATACAATAAAAACCAAGATATCATGAATTCATAGAACAGTTTTGGATTTTAGATCTAGAACATTCTGGCTTCATTATATTTCAGAAAAACTTGGGATTCCACCAGCCCAGCTGGGTGAGGCCAATGTGGATGGCAATGGTATGATGGTGGTCTTGTTTCCAGTGTAGCATCTTGACTGCTTCCTTTTTCTGTGAGCGCAGCTTGGAGAGGAAAGGAGAGAGCAGTGCGTCCAGCGGCATCAGGTGAGGACGAGAGATGGTGACCATTCACAGAACATGCTTCGAGCAGGAAAGAAGAAGACATAGGAGGGACGAGGAAGAGGGGGAAACACGATGGCTGGTGGGTGGTGGGGTAAAAAGGGATATCAAGGACCATGCTCCAGTAGTTGTAGGACTCAGAGGTTGTATACATGCAGTGTGTTATGCCAGGGCTTACGTCACGTTTTTGTTTATCCCATCTTCTGACCCTATACAGTACTTCAATGGCTAGTTGGACACGTGTAAATGTCTCTGACACCTTTTACCTGACAAATGCTGCTTTATCTCCTCAGACTATTCAAGCTGATCTTCATTATTATTTGACAGTTACATAGTTAATCTGGTTGAAAAAAGACACAAGTCTATCCAGTTCTACCGTAAGTTACCATTATGTGATTGCAATATGACTGATTAATTCCTCACATGTTCCCTAAGAACAATGATGAACAATGAAGCAGAGAACTAAAAAACAACGTATGTGCACATTCCGTCCACCCAGACTCTGCTGTCAAACTGACATATTAAATATAGATTTACAGTCAGGTTAATTGGTGCATACTGGGGCTACTAAATTTGGCCCAGGCATCTAAGTTTCAATGACCCCTAGTCATGACTTGCTGCTAAACACTAGTGTCGAAGATTGTGTCCTCACAGTGCACTTCTCATGTCTTGAACCTCACAGCTGTAGAAGGTGGTATCAAAAAGTTTCAAGACTAGCTCTGCAAGTACTTGATATATCTATGTTTACACACTAGTCCCCTTGCTCAGCAATAGAGCGCTGCCAGTGTTCCTGCCACTTTTGGAATGTGTCCTGGAAATCATCTTTTCGAAGCGTGTCAAGCACCTTCTGCTATTTGTGCTGGACCTTCTCAGTGGAGACCTTTGAGCTGGATCTTCATGTTTGGGAAGAGGGAGCCAAACCTGGGGAGTAGGGTGGGTGAAGACAGTGAAGTCTGCAGGAGCCAAATGTGACGAGTAGGGGGGTGAGGAAAATAGATAATTGCAGCCTGGGGACCAACTTGGACCAACACGGCGCATGTTCAAATCACACGTGAGGATTAACTGGACTGTTCCGTATGACACCAACAATGGCAGCAATGTTGTGCACAAGTAGCCAAATGGTTTAGAAATTTCAACATTTTCAGGGGTTAAGCTCGTTGAAGGTCTTCCTGATCTGTCATGGTCTTTCAGTGATGTTCTTCTGCTCTTGAATCGTGTGTGCCATTCAAAACACTGAAAACGACTTATTAAAGCATCGCCCTAAACTTGCCAAATCATGTCAAACGTCGCTGTGGCAGATTTGCCCAGTTTCACACAGAATTACACATTTGTTTAATTTATTTCACTCTTTGTTCTAACTTGCTGTCCCTGACGAAACAGCAGACGTGGTAACGCAAGTGGTCAGAATAGCACCAGTTGCATAGCTCCTGATGTACACAGGACGATGTCTTTTGCCACAAAACTAGTCTTGAAACTTTTTGATATCACCTTGTACAACTTTAATGTGGGATCCTCTAAGGCCCTGTCATCCCTGACTGTTAGTCTCACCAGGCTGTGCTCAGTGTTCTCCTTGCTGGAAGGGAAGCTGTACCTGAGGACCTACAGTGAAAGGATCTCCCTGCTTCGTTCATTTTGTAGATCTGTGCTTCCTCCACCACTCCTTCTTCTTCGTTATTACCCCATTTGTTATCATGTGAGCAGCTATGACATAAGCTACCAAGATAGACACCTCCACACAGTGCAGAACAAGGCGTGCTAAAACCGTGATGGGAAAAGATCAGCTGCAGGGAGTAATGGTGGCTGATCCTTAGCCCTCCCCTCACCTTTTTTGGCCGCAGCTACTATAGTTCAGCTCCTCTTTTGTCAAAAGTTTTTATTGAAATGCTAAGTAGTACAAACAACTGATCGCCCGCTCAGGGGTGCCGTACAATAAATCACCAACAGGCGATAATTAAACATTTAAAGAACATTATTAGCGATATAATGCCGCCTAGAGGCTGAGGCTCTATCGCGGCTTCCATGGTTCAGGAGCAATGCCCGAGTGATCAAACAGTAGGTATTATCAGTAAAACAATGGCGTTTCATTTAACCTAAGAAAAGAGGAAGAGAAAAAAAACCAGAGAAAAAAGAGAGAAAAAAAAAAGAGAGAAATATACAATCAGAAATCAAGGAGGAAAAAAAAAAAGAGATAGAATTTAATTTTTTTTTCTGCAGGCCCGAGCGACCACAAAAATTAGTGAGTCCCCAAACCCAATGGAGAAAGATTGGGAAACTCGTATGTCTACCAAGGACGCCAGATCTTAAAAAATTTAGCATGGGTATCATCAACAATACTGGTCATTTTTTCATGTAACATCAGGATGGTTGAAGTAGGCTTAACCTTACAGAATGGGACAGAGATGATCTCCAAGCCTTGGCAAAAACCCGTTTAGAGGCAATAAAGATGTATGTGGCAAGCTTCTGTTGGTGCGCAAACAAACCAACAACTGGGCAGTGAAGTAATGCGCTTTCGCATCTTTCGGAATGGGAAGATAGAATATAAAAGGCCAAAAACTCTGGACCAGAACCCAACGAGACGATGGACATGACCACCAAATGTGGAGTACGTCACCACGCATTCCACAGCCATGGAAGCATCTATCGGAAAAGTTGGGATTGGCGCATGCAATGGGAGCAGGCACCCAATACCAACATAATGGAACTTTATAGGCAGCCTCCAGTTCAGTTCTTCTTTTAAGTCGATCTAAAACTGTATGCCCACTTAGGACTACTGTGTCCACAGGGTGAACACCTTGTTATCCCCTTGGCGCCGGCGCCTCCCGCCCTTTAAGGGTTTCAGAAGCCAGGAGGTGGGGTTTAGAGTCATGTGACCGCTGTGACACAACGTCACGGCGGTCACATAATCGGGAAAGGTCCCGAGCGAAAGAGGAGATCAGGACCTTTTCCATGAGTACCGGACATGTGTGCTGGGAGCGGGCAGGGCGCGCGCTCTCAGCACATGTCTTTTTTTTAATAGAACGCAAATGTGCGGCCGCTCTGCGTCTAGACCCAGACGCCGGGAGGCCGCACATTTGCGTTCGGCCGGCGCCAAGAGGTTAAAGTAAGTGAAAAAAAAGAAATGTACACACTACACTACAATAATTCCTGGGAGAAAAAATGAGAAGCCCAGAGCTGGCTATTCAAGGCTTTACGTTCTTTTTTTTTTGCATGTAAAATTGCCGGGTTCAAAATATTAATGCAAACGTCAAGATAATATGAAGACAAAATAAAATGGAAGGTAATATTCCACACACACACAAAAAAAAAAAAAAAGGATTTAAT